GTCTTTTCCAGTTTGGATTCCTTTTTTTTTTTTTTTTCCTTGTCTGACTGGCCAGGCCCTGTCATATGCAGAAGCTGCTGGCTGCTGTTTAGCAGGGCCTGGTCACAAGGCAGCTGGCTGAAGAACCCTAGAGGGTCCCAGCTCTAGCAGTGGCTCACTGGTAGGCAGAGTCAGATCCCAAAGACTGACTGTTGCCCAGCCACTGGCAAATGAAGCCAGGTCCTGGGGTTAGTACCTGACTACTGACAGGCAGAGCTGGTTCCTGGAGTCTGGCTGCAGGGCCCAGGGATCCCAGAGCTCATTTCAGATCATTGGTTGGGGACCCAGTTTCTGACACAGTTGGGGGTCGAGGGTATCCTGAAGCTTGTGTTGGCCTGCTAGTGGACAGAGCCAGGACCCAGCTGTCAGGGTAGGATCTGGCCTGCTGTGGACAGGCTGGGTCTATAGGCTGTGGGATTGTAGTTTTCTTGTGTCTGGTGTCTGTTCCTTGGTTGGTGAGCCTTGTCTAGAAGTTAGTGCAGGTTTACTGGAGGGAAGGGCCAGTGCCTGCCCACTGCTGGGTAAAGCTGGGTTTTGGCCCTCTGGTGGGCAGGGCCATGTCTAGAGGCATGTCTAAAGGTGGCTGTGGACTCAGAAAGTCCTGAGGCAGCCTGTCTGCTGATGGTTAGGACTCTCCAAGACCAGAGGGTAGGTCTGGCCCAGGCTCCTATCAAATGACTGCTTTTTCCCTGGGTCCCAGTGCACATGAGATTTTGTGTGCACCCTTTAAGAGTAAACTCTCTATTTTCCCCAGTCCTGTGGGGCTCCTGAAATTAAGACCCACTGGCCTTCAATGCCAAATGCTCTAGCAGTTCGTCTTCCTGGTGCAAGACCCCCAGGCTGGGGAGCCTGACGTGGAGCTCAGAACTCTCACTTGTATGGGAGAACTTCTGCAATACAATTATTCTCCAGTTTGTGGGTTGCACTCCAAGGGGTATGGGATTTGATTTTATCGCCCCTCCTACTCATCTCATTGTGGTCCCTTCTTTATATTTTTGTTGTATAAGATCTTTTCTGGTAGGTTCCAGTCTTTTTCATCGATGGCTGTTTTCCAGATAGTTGTGATTTTAGTGCGCTCATGAAAGGAGGTGAGCTCAGGGTCTTTCTACTCTGCCATATTGGCCGCTCTCTGGAAAATGGATTTTTAAAAAGTATGATCCAACTGTACAGTTTTTACAAGAGGCATAATTTATATTCACTGACATAGACAGGTTAAAAGTTAAATAACAGAAAAAGGTATATCATGCTGACAGTAACCAGAAGAGAGCTGAATTAGCTATATTTAATATACCAGACAAAAAATTGTTAGTAGAGACAAAGAAAGATAATTTATAACGACTCAGCAAGTCACAACAGTTAAAAATAAGAATATAAAAAAAATGTGGGAGACAGCTATATTTCTGATGAAAGAGAAGTTGAGTAGGCTGATGAATATAACCAAGGAATTGTCTAATTGCAGAAATAACAAGGTGCTGAATGCTTAAATCTAATTGCAGTGTTTTAAAAATTGCAATAAAACCCAACTCTTAAAGAAACAAAATTTACATATTTTAACACAATTAGAATACAAATATCAGAACTAGGAAGAAATAAATGGCTTTTTTCCCCAGTCACAAAAATCTCAGGATCACAGTGTTCAATATAATCTAAACTGGGACTTCCCTGGTGGCGCAGTGGTTAATAATCCACCTGCCAATGCATGGGACACGGGTTCAAGTCCTGGTCCGGGAAGATCCCACATGCCACGGACCAACTAAGCCCCTGCGCCACAACTACTGCACCTGCGATCTAGAGCCCGCGTGCCACAAGTACTGAAGCCCACGTGCCTAGAGCTCATGCTCTGCAACAAGAGAAGCCACCACAGTGAGAAGCCCACACACCACAACAAAGAGTAGCCCCTGCTCGCCGCAACTAGAGAAAGCCCATGAGCAGAAATGCAGACCCATGTGGCCAAAAATTAATTAATTAATTAAAATAATTAATTAATAAAACGAATTCAACTGAACATGGTCTGTTTTAGGCAAGGAAACTACCTTTTAAAAATACTATAAGTAAATAAATGTGTATCTATGTGATTGTTTACTAACATGTGTATATCTGTATATATGTGTTTAACACATATATACTACAGCATTTTTCATTTCAGTATGAATTCAGTGTAAGATAGATACATCTTAAACCTTTTCTAGGTGTTTAATTACTGAGGCATCAAAATAACATCAAAGATGGCTTCAGGGCTTCCCTGGTGGCGCAGTGGTCGAGAGTCCGCCTGCCGATGCAGGGGACACGGGTTCGTGCCCCGGTCCGGGATGATCCCACATGCCGCAGAGCGGCTGGGCCCGTGAGCCATGGCCGCTGAGCTGGCGCGTCCGGAGCCTATGCTCCGCAACGGAAGAGGCCACAACAGTGAGAGGCCCGCGTACCGCAAAAAAAAAAAAAAAAAAAAAAAAAAAAAAAGATGGCTTCAACCAATCAAGATAGAATGGAAATCAGAAATCCAAATCAAGAACAATGCTCTGAGAGGCAGCATAACAAAGTTGTTGAGAAAATGGACTCGAGAGCTAGTTACTAGGTAACATGAGTCACTATTTAAGGAGTATATAAGTCAATATTCATAAAGCACTTCAAACAACACCTGGCATACAGTTAATGCTATGTAATACTTAATTAAAAATCAATTAAACAAATAAGAAATATTTTCTCATTAATAACAATCCACTAGCAGGCATCTACCTCAACTCTCCTTTTACTTTGCTATATAGACAGCATCTTAGATGAGAAGTGAGATACTAACAAAAGTAAAATTATCACCGTGTATCTTTTGATTGTTTAACGTTGAACTGTTCAATGCCTCTTCCACCCATGATGTCAGACATTTCCAAAAACAACGTTTGGCATTTTTACTCACAGTCCAAGTTTTATTCTGCACAAACAGCCGTGGGAGGGCCCCTCCACGTCGCTGTCTTGCACAAACCTTTCCCTCATCAGACGAAGGCCTTTTTACTGAGTGTAAGTCTTTAGGCTCTATCAGTCTCTGCCTCACTTCCCCTCCTTCTGAGCTTCCAGTTTCCCCACAGTTAAGTCCACTCACTGACTTACCCACTGGGAAGCATAGCTCTACCCAGTCCCTGGAACAGACTAACCGGGATCCAGCAATTTCCGCCTCCACAAGCAACACCTCACTGCTCTGATGACGGATCTCCTGTACCTGAGGTTCCAAGTCTTATGCGTGTCCAGTTTTCAGATACGGGCTTTTATCTTGGCCTCTATGCCAAGCTGTAGGCCAGTATCTGCCAGGTACACTAGTCTAACCCTAGGATGGCAGACCTACCTTTCCCTGGACTATCCCTACATTGCTGCAGCCTAGCTGACTATGAAAAGACCTCCCAAATACTTTCCTAGGTTCCAAGTATCACCTGCATCTGATGCCTGCATTTAGAATAGTATTTCATTTTGTATCCCCTGTGGCCAGTCACTTGCAAAGAACACAGCCAGACTATATAACCCTTGGATATTGGTGAACTTCCAACACATGTTATACTACCTGAGTATCACCTACTTCTTACTGATGGTGTCAGCCAAGTACTACCGAATGCTAAGATAAGAGGCCAAGTTTTGACCCTATTTGGCCCTATTTGCCCAGTTGAAACTGTGCTTATTTCAGTTATCAATGTTACCAGCTCAAAGGCTAACACTTTTTCGCCTTTGCTTTCCACGTGACATTCTCTTAGAGCTGTACCCATCTTAAATCCACCTCTCTATTTCCATTCGGTTCTCCCGTCTCTATTTATGCCCCTCTTTTAAGTTTATTTCCTCAAAAATCATCTTTTGTTTTTTGCAATAACTCTACTATAGCTACAAATCCTTTCTTTACTCCATTCTGGGTATTTTGCCTTATGAGGTTTTCATTCAGGGACTGACTATAATACATGAAACTTGTTTAATAACATACCAGAAATCAGATAACCAAATGAGTAGTGTTTTCCCTAGAAATAATTATGTTGGAAGCTATTCACTTATTCTAATGATGTTATGAATAATCAGAGCACTTCTGGAATTCCTTGAACCTTGCCAGTTCTATGTCTTTGAACTTGTCCAAGAAGACCAAACCTATTACTCTGTAATACTGATCAAACACTGCAGTGCTTGGCTAAACTACTGTTTCCAAAAATTAGATTTACCTCCAAAGGTTGAAAAATTGCTATTACTGTGGAATTTTAAAAAATTATCTAGCCTCTGAAAGTATTACCAACATTTAAAATAAATGTTGGAAGAAAGGCATCATAGTTAGAATAAATGGATGGCAACCTTTGTATGACCTAACATAGTTACCTAACCTTGAAGATTATTCTTCCACATATAAAATGATTTCCTACCTTCTTACAGAATTACTGCAGAAATAAAACGAGAAAGTATACAACATCTCTGAAACCCATAAAAAGTGAATAAATGTAAGATATTCCTATTCGTGCCTTACTGCTGCAAATTTAAATGGATTCAAAACAAAATATTAAGGCTTACTTGTTTTAAAACTGTGTTTAAGACTTTAACTTGAGTTAAAGTTGACATTTGCATTTTTCAGGAGGTGCGAGATGAGAATCCAAGTTCCATTTTTTTAAAAACTATTTATATTTGCAGTAAAGTTACGTTTTTCAAGAAGTAGTGCATGATTTAGAAAGTGAAACGTAGCTCACTCTTATTGAAACAAAGGAAGTGGAGGGAAATTCCATAACTCAGAAGCCACAATAAATACAAATAATATCTTTGAGTCTGCAACATGGGACTTCCCCAAGGAACAGACACAGGTTTTCCCAAGTCAACTGTAACGTTATCCAATCAGAGTTAGAGAGGGAAAAGTGCCTTTGCAAATAAATACTGCAACCCAGCCCGATGTTTTCAGACACTCATCAACTGTTCAGGCAGTCTGAGCCTACTACAGAAGAAGCTTCAGTTGCAGCACCATGAACCAAAGTGCTGTTCTTATTTTCTGCCTTATCCTTCTGACTCTGAGAGGAACTCAAGGTACGGAACATCAAGGGATATTTAATTTGTAAGATCAGAAATAGGACTGGGTATAAACTCTTTAAGTGCAGAAATAATGTATTTGCAAAAGTTTTATGGCCTGCATTTTAAATGAAGGGTAAATGAGCAGAGATTCCTTCTGGTCAGAGTTTACAGTCAGAGAAGCAAGTGGAATAAAAGAAAGAGAGAAGGAGGAAGGTGGGAGTGGAAGAGGAAGAGGGACAGACAGAGAAAATGTGAGAGAAGGAGGAGAAAGAAGATGAGACAGGTCTCTCCTTAGTTAAGTAACTATATGACCTGGGCTCAAGGGTATGATCTTACAGTCAACAAGTTGCAATTCCATTCTTTCAGAGAATCAACTAATTAATCATACAGAGCTGTATGATCACAGATTGAGTATGTGATTACACAGAGTTACAGGTTCAGCTAAGTACTACCCAATCCACATTAAGTGCCTAAAATGAAAACTGCGCTAACATCGTCTGCTGTACCTGTTTCTTTTCCTGCAGAAATACCTCTCTCTAGGACTACACGCTGTACGTGTATCAAGATCAGTGATCAACCTGTTAATCCAAGGTCCTTAGAAAAACTTGAAGTGATTCCTGCAAGTCAATCTTGCCCACGTGTTGAGATCATGTGAGTAAAATCCCACCTAATGATCACCTCCCTGGTTGTAATCATACAATTAAATGACCCTGGTTGCAATCATACAGTTAAATACATGATGATGATTACAAAAATCAGTAAAGGGTTTGTGATGATTCTAAGACTTCTGTACAGCAAAGGGAAACATCTAAAGTGAAACCTAAATGTTTGACTTTAAAACTGTATATTCCATCTGTTTTATTGGCCCAATATTGTTTTAAATATTTTCACTCCTATTTACTTCTATAGTGCCACAATGAAAAAGAACGGGGAGAAAAGATGTCTTAATCCAGAGTCTAAGACCATCAGGAATTTACTGAAAGCAATTAGCAAGGAAAGGTAGGTTTGCTATTGCTTGCAGAATAACCGCTCT